ACTCTTGGATATCTTTATTCAGGAAACGTTTCGCCACACAGTGGCTTCATCAGTCCACCTGTGGAATGGTTTGATGTATAAAGCTGTAATATAACCTCTGGACTTCTGTTGCTTACACTTCTTGATATAAATCCCAGTAATCTATTTGCCTTATTACGTACTCTTAGGAACTGTTGTCTTGGTTTATGGTTCCTGCTTACCATAACCCATAAGTCATTTTCGCATTCTGTACGGCTAAGTTCTACATCATTTAGCTAATAAATGTTAGGGTTATGAACATTCCCGAAATTCAGAACCTTGCATTTATCTACACTGAACTGCATCTGCCACTTTTCTCACCACAAATTGAGTTTGTTTAAATCCTCCTGAAGTTGCGCGTCATTTACGTCTGAATCGATTATTCTACCCACCATTGTGTCATCAGCGAATTTTCTCATATCACTAGTAATTTTATCGTAAAGGTCATTTATATATACATTATTATAAACAGCAGAGGACCTAAAACTGATCCCTGTTCAGAATTTACCACGTTTTTTTGCATACACTCTGCTTCCTGTTAGTGAGCCATGATTCGATCCATGACAGCACTTTTCCCCAATAGTATAAGCTACTACTTTCTTAACAGTCTCTGGTACGGTACTCTATCAAAAGCCTTACTAAAATCCAACTAAACAATATCAAATTCTTTATCGTGATCAACAGCCTCAAAAGCTTTACTGAAGAAAGTTAGTAAATTACTTAAGAACGGCCCTTAGTAAATCCATGCTGGGTATCATTAATCAAGTTAAGCTTATCAAGATGGCTTCTTATAATATCAACTATAGCTGACTCTTGTAACTTGCCTACAATTGAGGTCAGGCTTATTGGGCGGTAATTTGACGGTAACGACTTGTTCCACGATTTAAAAATAAGAATTACATTGGCCATCTTCCACATATCAGACACTACACATGTTTAAAGAGAGAGATATAAATAATATTAGCTAATGGCTCAGAAAGTTCCATTTTGCACTTCTTAAGAATCCTTGAAAAAAGTTCATCAGGGCCCGGGGATTTATTTTGCTTCAATCGCTAGTGACTGTGATATTTACATAATTTATCTTCATCACGCCCAATATAAAAATTGATTATTGGTATGAAGTCAAGAATTCCATTCGCTTCTCTTTTTGTGAATACTTATGCACTGTTGTCTTGGCTTTAGATTACTGCTAACCAGAACTCCAAAATCTTTTCGCATTCAGAGTATGATGTGCGTTTTTTAGTTTATGAGTCATGGTTATTTTCTATTGAATGGATTAAAACTTTGCATTTGTCTATAATAAACTGCCTCTGCCACTTCTCCGATCACTGCATCAGTCTATTCAGATCTTCTTGTAACACTGTAGTGTCCTCGACAGAATTAATCCGACGGACTATTTTGGTGTAAAAGGTAAAGTTGCTTATTTCACTATTTATTTCCTCATTTATGTCGTTAATGTATTTTGTGAACATCAGAGGGCCCAAAAATGACTCCTGTGGACTGCCGCTTGTGACACGTTGCCACTCTGATTTCTCCCCATTTATGCCTATCTGTCAACTAAGTCTTTATCCAGAAAAAAAATCTATTCCTTGTTCCTCTACTTTCTTCAACAATCAACCCATAATTTGAGTTATATATAAATCAAATTATGGGTCGCACAAGCTCGATTGCTATTTAGTGGATCTACTGTGCACAACCTGGTGGCCTGGTGGCCTGGTGGTTAACGCTCTCGCTTCACACGGTGAGGGCCTGGGTTCGATTCCCAGCCAGAGTAGAAACATTGGACGTGTTTCTTTCCACCTGTTGTCTATGTTCCCCATCAGTAAAATGGGTACCTGGGTGTTAGTCGACTGGTGTGGGTCGCATCCTGGGACACTGACCTAAGGAGGCCTGGTCACAGACCGGGCCGCGGGGGCGTTGACCCCCGGAACTCTCTCCAGGTAAACTCCAGGTAAACAACGTTACTCAAAATCACAGGATTACTCATTAAGCCATGGGGTCTTGTGATGCTCTGGTGACGTTGGACCAGTGTCTGCGCACTGAACATCATGTTATGAATGTGGTGAATGTTGGCATAATATATAGCCCGTTTAGTTGCTACTGTATCGTACGTTTAGAGGTACACAAGTTTAAGTGTTATATGTTTAACACCATCCTCTCAGCAGAACTGGCTAAACAGCTGGTCAGCGATACGAGTCTCATACTTCTCGGGTCCTTGGGCTTTGAAAGTAGTACAATGGTGGCCCTCTTCCAAGCTGCTGGGAGTGTCTGTGACTTCCATGACTTGTTTATGACTTCTGGTATGGCCTCCCTTCCACTCTGGCCGGCTTGTACAATCATGGAGTACGTGACCCCATCGATGCCCGGGGCAGTGTCAACTGTGTTCTTAATGGCATGTCGGAGTTCCAAGTTCGTTAGGTCTTCTTCCGTCACATCTTCAGGCTTACGTGCAGCTTGTACCGTTAACCGACGTTGTTGCAGAAGATCTTAGGTATATCCCGGATGTCCTGTGGGAGCTGAGTGGAGGTTCCCGTAGAGGTAAAGAGCTCCGCCAGTTTTTCAATTTCCTGGGCTGGGTTCGGGTGTGCTGGTGGCTTCGGCTTGCTTTTGCCAGTTGCCTCATATCTCATATAAGGTGGTGTGATACCTCGATGTTGAGCACCACTCCAGTCATTTCTCAGATTTTATTCTGATGGAGACTCTGCGGGCATGCTGAACAATGGCATTCAGAGTATTTCTGTTCTCTGCTGTAGGATTGCACCTGTATAGCTTGCTAAAAGAATTGATACGGTGGTTCTGCTCCCGCACCTCGTCGTAGTAGAACCATCAGTCTCTTTTGTGGGTGTGTCCTGCAGATTTCTTTGAGAATGCGCACTCTGCCTCCTGGATGAGTACAGTGGTTAGTTCTTGCTCAGCTGTATCAGTGTCTTCGGATAGAGTGTATGTAGCCCACCAGTCATCAAGATGATCTTGGAACGCCTTCCAGTTGGCCCTCTTTACGTCCCATCTAGGAGGCATCACAATCGTGGGGGCTTGTTGATGTTGAATGTGGTGATCATTGCAAGGTGGTCACTGACGTGGTTAGGATGAATTTCCCATGTGGCTCCCGCTGTGAGCTGTCTTGTCCCGAATGCGGCCACACAGCAGTGTGTGAGGTCTCCATTGTTCAGCAGCTTTACCTCTGCTATATCGTGTAGGAACATTGCTAAGTATCTGCCAGAAGCATTGGTGACTGAATGAGAATGCGGCATAGGATGATATGCGTTGAAGTCTCTACCCACAATAATACACTCAGTGTGTGCCAGAGCGAGGAGCTCCGTAAATTCGACGGTGTCTCGGGTTCTTGTAGATGTTGTAGATGGTAATGGGCGCCCCAGGCATGCGTGCCTGGGCTATAACCTCTTGAGGTATTGCATCTGATATGAACACAGATGTTCCTCTGTAGTGAACGCCCGCATCCATGTGCCGAAAATACCCAGCAAAACCAGGGAGTCTTGGGCACATTGTTGGGACAGTGAGGGGTTTCTTGTAGCAAGACAATGTCAACCCCATCCCGAATTACTGTCTCCAGTAGAAGGTGCTGTTTGCCCCTCAGGCCCTGAATTGTAGGACCTCAAGGGTGGAATTTGGTACAGAAGTTATTCCATCGCTGTTGTTTCCTGAACTGGGGACTGGGCCCTGTGCGCTCTGTGAATCTGCAGATTCATGGCATCCACTGTCCCCTCCTCGGTCAGTAAGCACACCTTCAGAAGTGTGCTGACCATTTGCCGGAACATGCTCCGTTGTTCCGTGGAGTTGATTGTGTTGCACATAATATCCGTGAATGCCTTGATAAGTGCTACGATATTCTCCCTGGTGAGGGCCTGCGTTGGCAGTGGGTTCGAAGCAGTGGATATTACCTGGACTGTTGTGGTCTGTGGGGGCTCCTGAGGGTTGGATTTCTTCAATGTGCGCACCGTGGTGTGTTGCTGTGTGCCACGCTGGGAAGCCTGCACCTGCTGGTGAGGTGCAGACATGGCCAGGGGAGCCTGCATAGCGGCTGTGCCAGGAAAGAAGTGCTGGCGTTGCCGGTAGGGGCTTGTATAGTGCCGTCTGCTGATCGCGTTGACCTGATGTTCCCTGTTGACGCCGCTTGTTCCTTATAAGTTTTGATTTCTTCGTTGAGGAAGAGGGGCAGGAGGCTCCTGTCCATGACGCCTGGTTGAGGCTATGAGGGTCGGAAATTCCTCGGCATTGAGTTGGGTGATCTGATGAGAGTTCTGCATTAAGGCAGGGTTCTTTGTGCCCATCGTCTGCTGAGTATTTGCACGAAGAAGTGGCTTATTTACTGTAGACAGGCAAGGCAAACCAGTCGTAGGCGATATCACAGTGAACAAATCCACATGTGGAAGAAGGTCATGCCTATAGGTTAGAGAAGTGAAGAATTCCCTGTATCAGGATCCCAAGATGTTGGTGTGTCTGACAGGAATGTAGATAAATGGTTCAGAGAACCGACAAGTTGATGAATTAGACTCATGTGCAACACTTAAGTGTGTTTATTTAGGAAACTTTTTTCACCATTTTTCTTTGTTTAGAACTGACGAAGCCACTGCGTAGGGAAATGTTTCTTCAATAAAGATACCCAGGTCTTGCACGTGTGTCTAATTCATCATACCAAAATGTTTCTAGGCGTGCCAAGGACCGACGAAACCCAGTTCATCGGTGTTCAAGCTCAGGCAACTACCAACCGAGACGTGAAACACCCTGGCCATGAACATTCCCTGTGACAGTGTTCTCCGGATAGGAAAACTGCCCTCCTAACATGCCAGGGATTATAATATAGGTACTACAAACGGGTCTCGGCATTTAGACCAGAGTTAGGTGTCACTTTTCCAGAACAAAACTTACTATGTAAATAAACTCATGTAATAACATATTCATATTCATGAATTATTTGAATAATTATACATTTGTTTTATTCAGTTAATTATTGTTATACAAACCTTGACCTTGGTAGATGCTGTCGGCGGAAGTGAGACCTTAATATTGACTACTCCTCTGATGGTGTTCTCAGGGGGAGGAGGAAGAGGGTCCACTAAATGTTCTTCACTGATGGGCAACTCACCACTACTCAGCTCATACTCTTGAGAACTCTGGTGCTGAATCTTCCCGCGGGAAACAACCTGATGGAAAAAGGAGCAATGTTTGTCTCATTATATTCATTATCATAGGAGAATATGTTCCAAAAATATATCGTGATAGCTGCATTTATGTATGCCATTCTAGTGCCCAAAATATAAACGGAAGTTACACATGCAGGTCTTATATTTAGCATAAATATTTCTAATTGAAAAGAATTGTAAATTGTGAAGTTATTCTAATATATGGAAAAACATTCAAAACATTAAGCACAATTATACCATGTTTTCGTATGCAATGTAATCTATATAAAAAATAATCGTCAGCAAACGAAAGAGTTTCTCATGCATAAAAATATTTCTTTAAGGGATCACGTCTGCGGCGTTGATGTCATTACCAGTATTACAAAAAATTCTCACAAAACCTTCGAATGCTGTAGTCAGAGTTATTACTCTTTGTGTAGATTTACTGGGAAAAATTGTTTATAAATAAAATGGCACATGGCGAACCCCAGTGTGTTGAAACAGCGTCTTAAGCTTTGTATTATAAAGTAATTTATTTAATACAGGTGAGTAATGATTTTAATACAAGACATTGTGCTATGTTAGACTAGAACCAAAATTAATATATAACTACCTATCTGTGGAAGCTGCGTTACAGACACAAAGTTAATATATAACTATCTTTCTGTGGAAGCTGCGTTACAGACACAAAGTTAATATATAACTATCTTTCTGTGGAAGCTGCGTTACAGACACAAAGTTAATATATAACTATCTTTCTGTGGAAGCTGCGTTACAGACACAAAGTTAATATATAACTACTTTCTGTGGAAGCTGCGTTACAGACACAAAGTTAATATATAACTATCTTTCTGTGGAAGCTGCGTTACAGACACAAAGTTAATATATAACTATCTTTCTGTGGAAGCTGCGTTACAGACACAAAGTTAATATATAACTATCTTTCTGTGGAAGCTGCGTTACAGACACAAAGTTAATATATAACTATCTTTCTGTGGAAGCTGCGTTACAGACACAAAGTTAATATATAACTATCTTTCTGTGGAAGCTGCGTTACAGACACAAAGTTAATATATAACTACCTACCTGTGGAAGCTGCGTTACAGACACAAAGTTAATATATAACTATCTTTCTGTGGAAGCTGCGTTACAGACACAAAGTTAATATATAACTATCCCTTTCTGTGGAAGCTGCGTTACAGACACAAAGTTAAATAACAACTATTTGTCTGTGGGAGCTGGTTTATAGAAACAAAATTAATATATAACTATCTGCTTGTTGATGCTGGTTTATAAAAAGAAAATTATTATATAACTATCTCTTTGTGGAAGCTGGATTATAAAAATAATTGATGAACTTTTAAACATACACTAAAAACAGTGAAATATTAAACATTTCAACCACAACACAACACACACACAACACACACACACCACACACACACAGACACACACACACACACACACACACACACACACACACACACACACACACACACACACACACACACAAAATACTTATTTAGTTTTTTTGTTGAACAAACATTAAGAAATCTGATTTTTAGTTTGTCTGCCTGACAAGAAACTGAAAAATTAGATTAACTAGATTTATTTCGGTCGATGCGCCATCCCAGGTATCCCCGTGTTCCATAAGCCCAGTTTCTTCTACCTCAATGAACACAAAAGGAATATACTGGAGGGTGGGTTATAACAGTCCAGTGTGACAAAATACAAAAATATGTATACATATGAGTATGCTTATGCATATTCATTCCTGTACGTATGTGTTTTCACATGAACATAGTATATGTATGTATTTTTTGTGCATAAATGCACATATGTAATGTGTATTTACATGTGTGTGGCAAGCAAAGAGTACGTTACATTTATTCGGCATATGTACACACTCCTATATAGGCTACCTCCCAACCAGCGAACCAGGTGCTAAGGGTTTAACGATTCAGGGTGCCCCATCATTAAATCAGTAGTACCTTGGTTCAGCCAATTATATTGTGAGTCTGACAATTGCGAAGGTGATGTGGTAGCACTCACAATTCACTCTTGCTGGTTGAAAGCAGTGGTGTCTGTCTCTGGCTGTTGTCTTGCCTCTTGATCACCGTGATACAATTATTTTCCAAACTTGTACATAGTGTAAATAGTTGAAAATACCTATAATCATACTTGGTGAAAGAAAATATAATTTAAAGACTACCGCTTTGTTTATTATCGCTCCAAGCTCCCATTACAGCCAGGTTAACAGGACTTGATTACCTGAAACCATAATATGGGAATCTTGTCCGAGAGCTGGAGCTGAACTTAGAGCAGGAGCTGGAGCTTAGAGCTTGCTATCTCGCATTGCATCAGCTTTGCTATCACTACCGATTATTGCATGTCAAACGTACCCACTACTCCTTATACAAGATCTTTCCCCACCTTAATCATTTAGATCCCCCACAACAATTACTCTCTCACTTGATTCAAAACTCAAGTTCTCACTCAATATCTACCAAAATTTCTCTCTTCTCTAAACCTGTTTCGTTTCAAGGCGCACAAACACTTACTATAAACCACTTTTTACAAATGACCCTTATTTTACTCCATATATTCAATGAATTTATATATTTATGTTTCCTCTTTTCTTGCCATAACTGATCATTCAACAATCTTACTACTTCCTTAGCTCTAACATTTACTGGAAATCCGTGACCTAATCTCATTTATTTCTCCCCACTGAATCTCTGCTACCCCATTCAGCTTTGCTTCACTTAGAGTCAGGACATCCACAATTATCTCTTCCATATCATCCACACATCAACGCATATTCAATCATCCCAACTTTAAGGTTTTTCTTCCTCAAAGTCTAGCGCAAGCTGGACTCCAAGGTATTGGTCCAGTGTGGGTAGATTGATAAAGCACTGCGTACCTTGTTCCAAGGTTCGTAGGTTCGAGTCTCCTTCAGCCAGAGATCAGTGTATATATATATATATATATATATATATATATATATATATATATATATTCATGCATCTCTTATTGCAAAAGTCATGTGGTAATTTTAATGTTCAACTGTGTTCAGTTTTTAACAGGATATTTTTTTAACCACACTGATTTCAAAACTGACAATCGATGCCAGTACCAGCATACCGCCAGTTACTGCTCCTTGCCCCGTCATAGTGATACTCAGTTCATTGAATCTAGCACCGCTTAGACAGTGGTAAATGGTACCGTTGCCCACCTAATCGATGACCTGAAAATCAGCGATAACTGCGATCTCATGTGGCAGCTACCGATGAAAGGGTACTATGACAGAGATCCGAATCAGATTATTTTTAACCAGCGAAACAACGTACAATTATCTTTAACCAATAAAACAACGTACAGTTAAGCTGTTATAGTGATTATGAACAAAGTACCAAGTTAAATTATTAACAGAATTTTGACTAGTGCAAACGCCAAAACCTAGATTCTGAACATTAAAATGGTATAAAATACCGACAGGTTGTTAGGTAAGACACATATGCAACAGTTAGGTATCTTTATTATGAAACGTTTCGCCTACACAGTAGGCTTCTTCAGTCAAGTACAGAAAAGTTGATAGAAGCAGAAGATACTTCTCAACATTTGAGTTCTTACCTCTCCTAGTGGCCTACGTCTCACCTCTTGGCGCTATAAAAAGCTCCATCCTGTCAATTCTTCTCCATATTGTTTCATACTATGGAACAATGCTCTTCTCCAGACTGAGGGACTGACCACCTCAAAACTTTAAGGGTGATGGACTGATTACATCGTCTTCAAGTATCTTCTGCTTCTATCAACTTTTCTGTACTTGACTGAAGAAGCCTACTGTGTAGGCGAAACGTTTCATAATAAAGATACCTAACTGTTGCATATGTGTCTTACCTAGATTCTGTTGGACCTGTGCTGGCATCTGTAGCAGACGTTGTATATTTCCTTTCCTAATGATTTACAAGTAGTTTATAATGACGTTACTTTTTCCCGAAGGAGAAGCAGAACATTAGATAGGTTGCTCTTCTTAATATCTAATAATGAAACTGGGTACAAGTAGTTAGTTCTCAAGGGAAAAAATTACGTTAACACTGAGAACTGGTAATGGTCTTATATAAAGTTATCCAAAACAGATGTGTTTGCTTTAGTCGAAGGAAAATCATATATGGTTTTAAAGATGACAAAAACTTGAACCTGAGAACACTCAGTCCTATTATCTTTCATTCTTAGCTTTAATCAGATTACTGAAATTATTATTACTATATGAATTCGAATGCTATTCCTTGAAAAGGTACAATATTTACATAACAAAAGTTTTACCAAATCCCATGATAAGCCTCATTATGTATATAATGAACTTAATTGCTACATTAGATAAAACGTTAGGCATAGATGAGCAAACAATGGTTCTAATTTTTATCAGAGAATATTTAAGTATTACAATGTAATGATCCTAGATGTGGTGAGTTAGCGGACGTGTAACCACTTCACGAAGAAAACGTCATCACTCTATCAAAATAGTGGGAAAAACGAGAAGCAGAAACAAAAAACATAACTACCTGGACAATAAAAACAGCTGAGGTCTGGCCGGTGGCAGAGAAGAGCACGGGCAGAATGTACTCCTGAGCTTCCCCGGACACACACTTTAGTTTTCCTTCAGGAGCGTGGATCAAGAGTGATGAGTTGGAGGGAGAGTAGTAATGGTCTAGGTCCTTGGAGAACTGTGACTGATACATGTTCGCACGGCAGTTCATAGCCATTATCTGTGGCAAGTAGAAAACAGAAAAGTATGAAGTAATGTTTGCAGATCCTGACCAGATATTGAAACTTCAACAATGCGCATTTCATAACCCTAATAGTCACCCTTTTCAGGTCTTCCTCCAGCCAAGACAGGACTCGCAGCAATGATTTCAAGTTGGAAAAATTCAGATTCAGAAACTATATTACCAAACCACTGCTTTCCTATATAGTTGTGGATGAGTGGAACAAACTCCCCAGTACAGTTATTGAGGCTAAAACGCTGTGTTATTTTAAAAATAGGTTAGATAAATACATGAGTGGGTGTGGGTGGGTGTGAGTTGGACCTGACTAGCTTGTGCTGCTGGGTCTGGTGCCGTGCTCCTTCCTTGAGTGGAGGTGACCAGACTGGGTGGGTCATTGGGCTAATTCGGGGGGAGGGGGGACATGGACCTGCTCGGCATGGGTCAGTAGGCGTGTTGCAGTGTAACCACGAACAAGTGGTTATTTAATCAACCACGAACAAGTGGTATTTAATCAACAACAACACTGCGACTAGCCGGGGGATCGAACCCGTGTCTTTTTAGCCTGGTTCATGGTGAGTGAAAATTCACGATATTCTAACCCACTGGACCATACAATCCTACAAGAATCACGCACCCAGCAGAGCTAGGTGTTGTACCGTGATTCGAGGACATACGATGGTGTGGGTGCCTCAGAGCTAATGTGGGGGAAGTGAGTGAGATAGTGGGTAGAATGAAAGGGGGTAAACCAATTGGGACTGATGGGACAAAGACAGAAATGTTAAAGCAGGTCGGGATATAGTTTTTGAGTGGTTAGTTCTTTTTTTTAATAAATGTATGGAAGAGGGTAAAGTACCTAGGGATTGGCATAGTTCCTTTGTATAAAGACAAAGGGGACAAAAAAGAGTGTAAAAATCATAGCGGAATAAGCTTGTTGAGTATACCTGGTAAAGTGTATGGTAGAGTTATTATTGAAAGAATTAAGAGTAAGACGGAGAGTGGGATTGCAGATGAACAAGGAGGCTTTAGGAAGGGTAGATGGTGTGTAGCCCAAGAGGTTTTTCTGTTGTTTATGGAATTGGAAAAGGCGTATGACAGAAAGGAGAAAGGGGCAATGTGGCAGATATTGCAAATGTGTAGAATAGGAGGAAGGTTACTAAAAGCGGGGAAGAACTTTTATGAGGATAGTGAGGCTCAGGTTGGAGTATGTAGGAAAGAGGATTATTTCCCTGTATAAGTTGGCCTTACACAAGGATGTGTGATGTCACCGTGGTTGTTCAATATATTTGTAGAATGCTCGGGTGTTGGCAAGAGGTGTAAAGTTAAATGATATAGAATCTAACCAAAAGTGGGAGTTGTCACAGCTGCTCTTTGCTGATGACACTGTGCTTTTGGGAGATTCTGAAGAGAAGTTGCGAAGGTTGGTGGATGAGTTTGGTAGGGGATGTAATAGAAGAAAATTAAAAGTGAATATAGGAATGAGTAAGGTTATGAGGATAACAAAAAAATTAGGTAACGAAAGATTGGATATTAGATTGGAGGGAGAGAGTATGGAGGAGAATGCATTCGGATACATAGGAGTGAACGTGTCAGCAGATGGGTCTATGAAAGATGAGGTGAATCATAGAACTGATGACGGAAAAAAGGTGAGTGGTGCACTTAGGAGTCTGTGGTGACAAAGAACTTTGTCCATGGAAGCCAAGATGGGAAAGTATGAGAGTATAGTTATATCAACAAACACTCTTATATGGGTGTGAAGCATGGGTGATGAATGTTGTAACAAGGTGAATGCTTTAGGCAGTGGAGATGTCATGTCTGAGGGCAATGTGTGGCGTGAATATAATACAGAAAATTCTTAATTAGGAGGAGGTGCGGTATGGCTAAAATTATTATCCAGAGGGTTGAATAGGAGTTGTTCAGGTGGTTTTGGAATGTAGAGAGAATGGAACAAAATAGAATGACTTCGAGGTGTATAAATCTATAGTGAAGAAAAGGCAGAGTAGGGGTCGGCCTAGGGAATGATGCATGGAGGGGGTAAAGGAGGTTTTGTGTGAGAGGGACATGGACTCCAGCAAGCACACGTGAGTGTGTTAGTTAGAAGCGAATGGAGGCAAATGGTTTATGGGACGTGACCTGCTGTTGGGGTGCGAGCAGGGTAACATATGTCAGGGGATTCAGGGAAACCGGCAGTTTGGACATGAATCCTGGAGATGGGAAATACATAAGAACATAAGAAAGAAGGACCACTGCAGCAGGCCTACTGGCCCATGCGAGGCAGGTCCAATTCTCCTACCGGCTTAAGGCAATGCCTTAACCTACTCAGGACATGTCACGTTCACTTACGGAAAGAGCACGGCATCTGACCTAGTAGCACAAGCTAGTCAGGTCAAACTCACACCCACCCACTCCTACTCATGTCCTTATCTAACCTATTTGAAAAACTACACAACGTCTTATCCTCTATGACGGTACTCGGGAGTTTGTTCCACTGATGCACAACTCTATTACCAAACCAGTGCTTTCTTACATCCCTCCTGAATCTGATTTTTTCCAGCTTAAAGCAATTGCTGCGAGTCCTGTCTAGGCTAGATATTTTGGCACGCTATTTACATCCCTTTTATTCATTCCTGTTCTCCATTTATTCACCTCAGTCATATACCCCTAATTCATAGCCTTTCTAGAGAGTGCAGATTCAGGGTCCTCAGTCTATCCTCATACAGAAGATTTCTGATACGTGGAATCAACTTTGTTATCCTTTTTTGTACGTTTTCCAGAGCATTTATATCCATTCTGTAATACGGTGACCAGAACTGTGAAGCATAATCTAAATGAGGCCTAACCACAGATATATAACGTTGAACAACCTAAGAACTTTCATTAATTATACTTCTTGATATGAAGTCAAGGATACTGTTAGCTTTATTGTGAACACTTGTGCACTGTTGTCTTGGTTTCAGATTACTAACCAAAACTCCTAAATCCTTTTAGCAATCAGTAAAATTACGATCTACATTATTTAGTTTAAATGTGGCATGGCTATTTTCCTGTCCAACATTTAGAACTTTGCATGTGTCTATGTTAAACTGCATCTGCCACTTCTCCGACCACTGCATTAGTCTATTCAAATCATCCTGGAGTGCTCTAATGTCCTACTTAGAATAAACTGGATGGCCTATTTTGGTGTCATCAGCAAATTTGCTTCCAAATTTGCTTCCAAAAATAGCTTCTGATGTGGAAACTCTATCGAAAGCCTTAGTGAAGTCCGTGTACACAATATCATATTCAATACCACGATCTACCTACTCAAATACCTTAGTGAAAAAAAAGTTAGTAAGTTCATAAGACAGGAACGCCCCTTTGGTAAACCCGTGCTGAGATTCATTAATCAATTTATGCCTTTCGAGATGGCTACGAATTTCCTCGCCAATTGTTGATTCTATAGATTTTCCCACTATGGAGGTACGGCTTATTGGTCTATATTTCGAAGCTAAGAACCTGTCACCTGCTTTGTAAATAGATATTACACTTGCAATTTTCCACTTGTGCTGCACTCTGATGGAAGGGTGTTAATGTTGCAGTTTTATAACTGTAGTGTAAGAGCGCCTCTGGCGAGTCAGTGATGGAGTGAATGATGATGAAAGTTTTTCATTATCGGATCACCCTGCCTTGGTGGGAGACTGCCGATGTGTTAATAAAAAAAACTGTTGTTAAATACTGTGTACAATACACTACTAAATATATTTTGAGCTTGTATAATGAATAATTTAAGTGATAAACGGTGTTCTTGTTATGTTTCAAGAAAGAAGATCCAATTAAGTTTCTTTCTAGGACTGAACTGTTAGGTGCAATAATGTGGGCATCATCCCAACCTGGTGGGTGATTGCAGGAACTGACATGGTTGAAGATAGTGCTCGACTCTTGCCTTGTCCTGATTGAGCATTTATGTTGGGCTATTCTGGTTTCCAGAGGTTCACCTGTTTTACCAATATATGAAAGAGGACACTGGGTGCATGCGACCTTGTAAACACCATCAACTTTGGTTATAGTGTGTTTCTACTGTCCCAGTGTTTTTGAAAGAAAGGATTAATGTCTCATGTAGGTAAAAAAAATTTTCATTATATGGTAAAACTAGTACATTCTTCCATTCAATAATTTCCTTAGGTTCAATCCTGAAGAAAGTCTTCCTTGATGACATTAGTGCCTTTGCAACAAAATCCTTAGGGTATCTCAGTTTTGTGGTTATTTATCTCAGTTTTGTGGCCCCTAAATTTCCTATGAACGATGACGTGTTATTACTGGATAACAACATTACCAATTCTAGTATGTGTCCTGAACATATAATGATTCTTCTCCGATGTTGGCCATAACTCGGGCAAAATCCCAAAGGGTCTCTGATGAGAATGCTAACCTATCCTTGGACGAATATGATCTCGGAATAGCCAATTTGCTTTATGAGGAAAACTGGCTAGGGCTTCATAAATTTAGTGAACAGACCCAGATCAAGCTTTTCTATTCCAGGGTTGCAGGATTGTCAGATGTCTCTGTTTCCATGCCCGAGGGATTGTTCTTTCGAGAGGAACAGCGAAAAGACTCTTCATTAAATTTCGATTTTGAGGCACCCATGGGTAAATCCTTCTCAGATCACCCTGTCAAATATAAAATTAAAAACGACTATTTAATCTGCACTGAAACTGGTAAGGAGATGGAGGGAAGACAACAGTCAGACGGGTTAGTAGATATTAAATATAGCTCATAACTCTTCATAAGGAGGCCACTTAGAAATTACTAAAACCCTGTATAGAATATTAAAAGAATTCTTTTGGTTAAGTTAAGGCAGGATGTGAAGAATCATATCCGCTGTTGTAGAGGATGACAGCAAATAGGGAAACCTGGACACCCCATTAACCTGCACCTCTCCATTCTATATCTACCGTTGGAGAACCTTTTGCAGAGTTAATTAATTAATTGAACCTAAGTCCAAGTCTGGGAATCAGTACTTGTTTACCATTATGGATAAAGTAACTAGATACCCAGAAGCAATTCCCATTCGCAGTATTAATACTAAACCAATCCTGAAAGCTTTAGCTAAGTTTATAAGTTTATCTCTTGCTTTGGCATTCCTAAGCCTATTCCAAGTGATCAAGGTACTAACTTCACTGCCAAAGCATTTAGAGAAGCATTAACTAGGCTAGGAATAATTCACAAATTATCCACTGCGTATCATCCTCAGTCCCAAGGCGCCTTGGAAAGATTCCATCAGATGTTAAAATCCATGATGAAAACTTTTTATATGCATTTTCCTACAGACTGGGATGAATCACTATCTTTGTTGCTGTTTTCAATAAGGGAAACTTTGCAGGAGTCTACCGGGTATTGTCCGTTTTAGCTGATCTTTGGGCACAACATACGAGGTCCTCTTCGGGTGCTCAAGGAAGGATGGATGGGAGAACACGCCTGCTCAACAATTTACAACCCTTCTTCATGGTTGCAGGTGGCACGTCAGTTGGCTATGGCTAACTTAAAGATAGCTCAAACACGATGAAACAGAGGTATGACAGAAATTCGAAGTTTCGTTCCTTTCATCCAGGAGACAAAGTGTTTGTACAGGAACCTATACCTGGCCACACCTTAAAGGCTAGATTTACGGGACCCATGCAAATTGTGAGTAAATTATCTGATGTAAATTATGTGGTGTCTTCCCTTGACAAGGCCTCAAAAAGTAATACTTACCACATTAATCAAATTAAAGCATTTAATACACCAGATAAAGTCCCAGTAATGACTCTGTCCTCTGCCTCTGTAGATGACCCAGACTCTTTGCACTCTATTTCCGAGAGTAATGTAAAGCTTCCCAATTCTGTCCTCCTCAAGGACCCTAACCCTTTAATGGTGGGGCTGGATAAGAATCAAGTAACAGGTTTAACTGAGCTCCTACAATCTTGCCCTGATAATTTTTTGGATGTTCCGTAAAAATGTACACTAGGATATCATGATGTAGATGTTGGAAACTAAACCTATTAAACTCTACACCTACAGAGCTAATCCTGAAAAACAGAGGCTACTTCAGCAGAAGGTTGAATTTCTGTTAGAGCACTGGTTAGTGGAGGAGGAGTCTAGTCCATGGGCTTCACCGTGCATCCTTGTTAAGAATGCTGATGAAGACTTTCAAATATGTACAGTCTACCGTAAGGTGAACGATGTCACAATTGCAGATGCTTACTCTCTGTCACGTCTGGATGATGTAATTGACTTTGTGGGTAAGGCTACTTTTGTGTCCAAGTTAGGCCTCCTTAATTAAAGATTACTATCAGGCACCTTTGACTGATAAGGCAAAGGAAATCTCTGCCTTTGTAACTCCTGGAGGTTTCTATCAATATTCAGTTACCCCCATCGGAATGAAAAACTCGCCCACTTCATTCCAGAAACTGATCCATCAGGCTATTAAAGGACTTGAAGGCACGGCAGCTTACCTAGACGACATTATTGTGTCAGGTACTTGGGATCAACACATGTTTAGTTAAGGCTGTCTTTGAGACCTTCCTTTGGTCAGGCTACTATTGTTTTTGGGGGCATGAAGTAGATAGTGGCAAAGTGGCCCATAAATGTGCTAAAATTCTTGCCATTAAAAATTATCCAGTACCTCAAGATAGGAAATCCCTCCAACGTTTACTAGGTATCGTACGATTTTATAGAAGATTCTGTAAAAACCTTGCAGATATTATAGCCCCTCTAACCTCCCTTAGCAGTCACACATCCCTCTTCTTTTGGACCCCAGAATGTCAAAATTTATTCACAAAAGTGAAAATACTGCTCCGTACTGCACCCATTCTTATGTCTCCTGATTTCTCAAAATCCTTTACATTACAGGTGGATGCTTATGAATCATGGGTGGGAGCAGTACTTCTGCCAGCTGGGGACGATGAGTTGCAGCCTGTGGCCTACTTTTCGGCCTACTCTACAATTAAAAAAGAAGCTCTTGCTCTGATACTGGCGCTGGAGAACTTTGAAGTATATGTGGGCAAGATATCTCAGGTGGTCAAAATCTACAGTGACCACAACCCTCTGGTGTATCTTAATCATATGAAAACCCATAATGCAAGACTCATGCATTGGAGTCTTAGGCTGCAACCATATAACATATGTATTGAGCACATTGCTGGCCAAGATAATAAGTTGGCTGATTTTTTATCAAGAGTTTAGCATTCAAATGTATTAGGTTAGGATGTCTTAGGGACTAGGGGTATAAACCAGCTCTTTTTCTCCCCCTTTCGTATATACTATTTAAATTTTTTTTTTTCATTGAGGGGATATTCTGCTACCGTCCGCAGGTGTCTTCAACCTACATTAGCCCTACTGTCTGCTGTCTCACTCTAAGTTTAGAGTTTGGCTTTATATCGTGATAAAAGTTGAGCTCTATCTAAGAGTTGGATGGCCGAGAGGAAAGGCGGTCCAATTATTGTACTGTGCCATGGTGGCACTTTTACCCATGGAGGTGAAAGTCTAGTCCTGAGCCCTCTTGGGGTGGGGGTGTGGCATGCAAAGAGTATGTAATCTTTAGTCGAAGCACGTTAACAGCAAACCAGGAGCATGTTAACCAGCGAACCAGATACTAAGGATCTAATGATCTAACAGGGCCCCATCGTCAGATCAGTATCTAGGTTCAGTCAATCATATTGTGGATCTGGCAATTGTGAAGGTGACGTGGATACCACTCACATTTTCACCCTTGTCATTTCCATTCAAGAGCTGGCTGAAGCACGGTGGTCTGCATTCTGCCTTGATTACCGTGGCGTGCACTAATACCTATTGCTGTACATAGTGTATGTAGTGTACATACTTCTTTCTATACTTGGTGAAGGATAATATAATTCATAGTTATTCTGCTGTGTTTATTTTGCTCCCTTTACACCCAGGATAACAGGCCTTTGAGCACCTGGGTCGTAATAGGAACTGTCCACGATTGTTGCTTAACTTTCATTCTGACACCTTAAACAATTCAGCTACAGCTGCCCAATAACCTTAGCTAGCCATAGTTCGTACTATCACTGGGAACACCAGTAAGACTCAGACGTGGTCACCACTTGTTTCATTCTTTTCCTGTATGTTCTACCCTCAAGTTTGATATTATACTGAATGTACCTCGCAGAAACAGATAAAGTAAATTTAAAAAAGTGTTACATCCAGCAGGATTCGAACTCATAACTGCAGCTATCCACGATAGTTGCAGTTGTGTAGCTCTCAACCTGACGCCTTAAACCACTCAGCTACAGATGCCCAGTAACATTAGGTAACCTATTTGACTGCAAGCCAGATTGCTTCTTAATGCAAGGAACACCAGTGAGATTCAAACAGTCTCCAGATATTTAATTTTCCTCCCGTATGTTCTTGCATGAGGAGCGATACTTTACTCAAAGATACATAAGTATCTTGATGTATATCTCGTCATTATCCATAACATTAACAAAGTTTTAGTACCAAAAGGATGCAAAATTTTATGTAATATCAGTCCTATCTTTATACATATTAATTTCATAAAGAAAAATTAGTTACGCCCAAAGGTATGTATCTTTCAATGAATATACAATCCAGTGTTTTAGAAAACAAATATTGTGAACTAGTGACGCGCTGGTGAAAAACAATCTTGTAATTCTCATGGCTTTTTCCTTAAAAAAAAAAAAAACTGAACCTGAAATCCTGCCAAGACACATGACTGATTTACTCATGGGTTGACAGTAAATTAGGTTAGTATAAAGAGAAAATTAAAAACATTGTTTTACATATAACTGGACTTATCTGCTGAAACAAGTCAACACGTACCATGACGCGATTAGTGTCGTAGTTTGGCAACACTACTGTGAAGAGACCATCTGGTGCTGTGGTCATGTTGGTGCACCGACCAGCTGCACACACCTCTACAGGAACACCAGCAGCAACAGAACCATCTGGCAGCTCAGCTCTCACCTGAAATTTGTAGAGATCAATGGACATTTACATACAGATATCAACAGAAGAATGCAATACAGTGATTGATAATCATTGCTGTATAGTCATCAGGGACATGCTTAATGAGTATTTAGATCCAGCAGACATAACGACACAATAGTTCTGTTGACTTAAAGAAACTGTAGTAATAGGTTGAAACTGTTAACGTTTTGTCTAATACGATATCAACTACTGGGATTTCAATTGATATCAGAAAGTTTATACTAATTTTCTTGAATGTTTCTTAGCTCTAATGATTAGAGAAGTAAAAATATTCATAATGATACATTAGCTAAACCGATTATATATTACAGTATGATGAATATGAGAGAGAAATCAAATTACGTTATTGCAAAATTTAATTATACGTGTAATAAGAGTCAATATTTTACACACACACACACACACAAACACACACACCAGCAATCATGTGGTTTAAGCTTCGAATACACAGTAGAGCTACAAGTGGAGGGGGAAGCAGGAAGGCCAGGGCGAATGAAGCCAAACTACAAGAAAGGGGACTACACGGGAATAAGAAACTTCCTGAACGTGGTTCAGTGGGACAGAGAACTGGCAGGGAAGCCAGTTAATGAGATGATGGAATATGTAGCAACAATGTGCAAGGAGGCTGAGGAGAGGTTTGTACCCAAGGCTAACAGGAATAATGAAAAAGCCAGGACGAGCCCATGGTCCACCCAAAGGTACAGGGAGGCAAAAAACAAGTATGCTAGGGAATGGAAAAATATAAAAGGCAAAGGACCCAGGAGAATAAGGAGAGCAGTCGTAGAGCCAGAAATGAATATGGACAGATAAGAAGGGAAGCTCAACGACAATATGAAAACGACATAGTAGCGAAAGCCAAATCTGACCCGAAGCTGTTATACAGCCACATCAGGAGGAAAACAACAGTCAAGGATCAGGTAATCAAGCTAAGGAAGGAAGGAGGAGAGACAACAAGAAATGACGGGGAAGTATGTGAGGAACTCAACAAGAGATTCAAGGAAGTATTCACAGAGGAGACAGAAGGGGCTCCAGAAAGACAGAGAGGTGGGGTACACCACCAAGTACTTGACACAGTACACACAACCGAGGAAGAAGTGAAGAGGCTTCTGAGTGAGCTAGATACCTCAAAGGCATTGGGGATGGATAACATCTCTCCATGGGTCCTGAGAGAGGGAGCAGAGGCGCTATGTGTACCCCTAACAACAATATTCAATACATCTATCGAAACAGGGAGATTGCCTGAGGCATGGAAGACAGCAAATGTAGTCCCAATCTTTAAAAAATGAGACAGACATGAAGCACTAAACTACAGACCAGAGTCACTGACATGTATAGTATGCAAGTCATGGAGAAGATTATCAGGAGAAGAGTGGTGGAACACCTAGAAAGGAATGATCTCATCAACAGCAGCCAACATGGTTTCAGGGATGGGAAATCCTGTGTCACAAACCTACTGGAGTTCCATGACACTGTGACAGCAGTAAGACAAGAGAGAGATGGGTGGATGGAATGCATTTTCTTGGACTGCAAGAAGGCGTTTGGCACAGTTCCACACAAGAGATTAGTGCAAAATCTGGAGAACCAAGCAGGGATAACAGGGAAGGCATTACAATGGATCAGGGAATACTTGTCAGGAAGACAGCAGCGAGTCATGGTACGTGGCGAGGTGTCAGAGTGGGCACCTGTGACCAGCGGGTCCCACAGGGATCAGTCCTAGGACCAGTGCTGTTTCTGGTATTTGTGAACGACATGATGGAAGGAATAGACTCCAAAGTGTCCCTGTTTGCAAATGATGTGAAGTTGATGAGAAGAATTCATTCGATCGAAGACCAGGCAGAACTACAAAGGGATATGAACAGGCTGCAGACCTGGTCCAGCAATTGGCTCCTGGAGTTCAACCCCACCAAGTGCAAAGTCATGAAGATTGGGGAAGGGCAAGGAAGACCGCAGACGGAATACAGTCTAGGGTGCCAGAGACTACAAACCTCACTCAAGGAAAAAGATCTTGGGGCGAGTATAACACCAGGCACATCTCCTGAAGCGCACATCATCCAAATAACTGCTGCAGCATATGGGCGCCTGGCAAATCTCAGAACAGTATTCCGACATCTTAATAAGGAATCGTTCAGGACCCTGTACACCGTGTACGTTAGGCCCGTATTGGAGTATGCGGCACAAGTTTGGAACCCACACCTAGCCAAGCACGTAAAGAAACTAGAGAAAGTGCAAAGGTTTGCAACAAGATTAGTCCCAGAGCTAAGACGTATGTCCTACGAGGAGAGGTTAAGGGAAATTAACCTGACGACACTGGAGGACAGGAGATATAGGGGGGAAATGATAACGACATACAAAATACTGAGAGGAATTGACAAGGTGGACAAAGACAGGATGTTCCAGAGATGGGACACTGCAACAAGGGAACACAGTTGGAAGTTGAAGACACAGATAAATCACAGTGATGTTAGGAAGTATTTCTTCAGCCACATATTAGTCAGGAAGTGGAATAGTTTGGGAAGCGATGTAGTGGAGGCAGGATCCATACATTGATTTAAGCAGAGGTTTGATAAAGCTCACGGTACAGGGAGAGCGACCTAGTAGCGACCAGTGAAGAGGCGGGGCCAGGAGCTTGGACTCGACCCCTGCAACCTCAACTAGATGAGTACAACTAGGTGAGTACACACACAGGGGGATGCCAACAAGTGTTAGATGACATGCACACAACTGAGGAGGAGGTGAAGAAGCTGTTAAGAGACTTTGATACCTCAAAGGCAATGGGACCAGACAACATCTCCCCGTGGGCCCTTAGAGTGGGAGCAGAAATGCTGTGTGTTCACTAACCACAATCTTCAACACATTCCTTGAAATTGGGCAACTACCTGAGATATGGAAGATGGCAAATGTGGTACGCATATTTATAAAAGGAGACAGGAAAGAGGCACTAAATTACTGACCAGTGTCACTGACGTGTATAGTATGCAAAGTCATGGAGAAGATAATCAGGAGGAGAGTGATGGAGCACCTGGAGCGGAACAAGATTATAAATGACAACAAGCACGGATTCATGGAAGGCAAATCCTGTGTCACAAACCTTCTGGAGTTTTATGACAAAGTTACAGAAGTAAGACACGAGAGAGAGGGGTGGGTTGATTGCATTTTCTTGGACTGCAAGAAGGCCTTCGACCCTGTTCCTCGCAAGAGATTTGTGCAGAAACTAGAGGATCAGGCATGTATAGCAGGAAGGGCACTGCAATGGATCAGAAAATACCTGACAAGGAGGCAACAACGAGTCATGGCATGGGATGAGGTATCACAGTGGGCACCTGTGATGAGCGGGGTCCCACAGGGGTCGGTCCTAGGACCAGTGCTATTTTTGGTATATGTGAATGATATGAGGGAAGGGATAGACTCAGAGGTGTCCCTGTTCGCAGATGATGTGAAGTTAATGAGGAGAATTAACAGATGAGGATCGGTCAGGACTTCAAAGAGACCTGGACAGGCTGGACACATGGTCCAGCAGCTGGCTTCTTGAATTCAACCCTGCCAAATGCAAAGTCATGAAACTGGAGAAAGGCAAAGAAGACAGCAGACAGAGTATAGGCTAAGTAGCCAAAGACTGGAAACCTCGATCATGGAGAAAGATCTTGGGGTGACCATAATACCGAGCATGTCTCCGGAGGCACACATCAACCAGATAACTGCTTAAGCATATGGGCGCCTGGAAAACCTGAGAATAGCGTTCCGATACTTTAATAAGGAATCGTTCAAGACACTGTACACTGTGTATATCAGGCCCATACTGGAGTATGCAGCACCAGTCTGGAACCCACACCTGGTCAAGCACGTCAAAAAATTAGAGAAAGTGCAAAGGTTTGCAACAAGGCTAGTTCCGTAGCTCAGGGGTATGTCCTACGAAGAAAGGTTGAGGGAAATCGGGCTGACGACACTGGAGGACAAGAGGGTCAGGGGAGACATGATAACGACATACAAAATACTGCATGGAATAGGTAAGGTGGACAGAGACACGTTGTTCCAGAGAGGGGACACAGAAACAAGGGATCACAACTGGAAGCTGAAGACTCAGACTAGTCACAGGGATGTTAGGAAGTATTTCTTCAGTCATATAGTCAGGAAGTGGAATAGCCTAGCAAGTGATGTAGTGGAGGCAGGAACCATACATAGCTTGAAGACGAGATATGACAAAGCTCAGGAAGCAGAGAGAGAGAGGACCTTGTAGCAACAACGAATCATGGTATGTGATGAGGTATCACAGTGGGCACCTGTGACGAGCGGGGTCCCACAGAGGTCAGTCCTAGGACCTGTGCTATTTTTAATATATGTGAATGACATGATGGAAGGGATAGACTCTGAAGTATCCCTGTTCACAGATGATGGGAAGTTAATGAGAAGAATTAAATCAGATGAGGATCAGGCAGGACTACAAAGAGACTTGGACAGGCTGGACACGTGGTCCAGCAACTGGCTTCTCGAATTCAACCTTGCCAAATGCAGAGTCATGAAAATTGGGGAAGGGCAAAGAAGACCGCAGACAGAGTATAGACTAGGTGGACAAAGACTGCAAACCCCACTCAAGGAAAAAGATCTTGGGGTGACCATAACACCAAGCACGCCTCCGGAGGCACACATCAACCAGATAACTGCTGCAGCATATGGAAGCCTGGCAAACCTGAGAATAGCGTTCCGATACCTTAGGAAGGAATCATTCAAGACACAGTACACTGTGTACGTCAGGCCCATACTGGAGTATGTAGCACCAGTTTGGAACCCACACCTCGTGAAGCACGTCAAGAAATTAGAGAAAGTACAAAGGTTTGCAACAAGGCTAGTTCTGGAGCTCATGGGAATGTCCTATGAAGAAAGGTTGAGGTAAATCGGACTTACGACAGTGAAGGACAGGAGAGTCAGGGGAGATATGAAAACGACATACAAAATACTGCCTGGAATAGATAAGGTGGACA